GCGCGGGGCGGGGCCCGGGGGGCCGGGCCGTAGCCGTGCCGAGCCCAGCGGGGCCGGACCGAGCCGTGCCGAGCCAGGCGAGCCCAGCCTGGCCGCTCCGCGCTCCCCGGCCGGCACCGCCCGCTCCGCCCCGCTCCGCCCCGCGGGGCAGCCGGGGAGGGACCGGGATGGGCTGGGAGGGGGAGAGGGGAGGGGAGAGGGGCGGGAGGGAGGGAGATGAAGAAGGGAGGGGAGAGGGGTTGCAAGGAGGGGGAGAGGGGGGAGAGGGGAGTGGAGAAGGTTTGGGGATGGAAAGAGGAAGGGGAAAGGGTTTGGGGTGGGAGAGGGAAAAGAGAGGTGAGAGGGGTTGGGAGGAGGGAGAGAGGGGGAGAAGGGAGGGGAGAGGGCTGGGGAGGGAGGGGATGGGGAGGGAGGGGCGCAATAGAGGGAGGGTTGAGATGGGGAGGGAGGGGCAGAAGGGAGGGAAGAGGGGTTGGAGGGAGGGGGAGAAGGGAATGGAGAAGATTTGGGAAGGGAGGGAGGGTTTGGGGTGGGAGAGGGAAAAGGGAGGGGAGAGGGTTGGAGGGATGGAGGAAGGGTCTGGGTGGGAACGGGAAGGAGGGAGGGGTTTTGGGGAGACAGAGGAGGCGAAAGGGTTGGGAAGGGGAGCGGCTTTGAGTGGGATCCTTGGGAATCGGGATGGGGGCCAGGAAAAGGGAGAGGGCGGCGGTTTTGGGAAGAGGGTCCAGCAGGGAAAAGGTTCGGGAAGGGGAGCGAGGGAGGGGGGTGGGGAGGGGGCTCAGGGTGTGGCGAGGGGAGGATTTGGGGATCAGGAGAATGGGATTGGGGGCTTGGAGAGCTGGGGTGGGGCAAGGGAGGAATGGGTTTGGAGAGGGATGAGGAGGGGGATTTCGGGAATGGAGGGATTTGGGAGAATGGGAGAGCAGGAGTTTTGCCCGTGGGATTTGGCAAACGGATTTCAGGGATGGGGGTTTGGGAAGTGGCTCTGAGGGAATGGGGTTTGGGAATGCTTTTGGGGGAACTGGCAGAGATCAGATTTGTGGGAGGGGGATTTCCCAGGTGGGTTTTAGCGGGAGTGAGCTGTGGGCTGTGCATTCCCAAGGAGCGCGGGGTGGGAAGTGGGAGGGTTTTTTTGGGAAAACACGTTTTGGAGGAGGTTTCTGTGGTGAGGGGATGCGGGACCCGTGCTGGGAACTGCGGGAAGAGCCAGAGCCGCCCTCTGGGGCTCCGTGGGCTCGGCTGGTTGAATCCCCCATTCCCAAAGTTCCCCAGCCCTGTTTCCATGGAAGATCCGGCTCCAGGTGCTTTGGAGGCTTCCCGAGAGCGCAGGGCAGGAGCCGCAGGAGCGGCGGCAGCCGGGTGGGACACGGGGCTGGATCCCAGCGCCCATCCCTGCCCAGCCCAGGGATCCAAACTCTTCCCACGTGCCCGGGAATTGTCGGGAATTCTCGTCCCGCTCAGCTCAGGGGAGCGCCCAGCCTCCGCTTTCCCAGGGATGATTTTGGAGGGTTGGGAAGAGCTGGAGGGTGGCGGCAGAGCCGCGCGGGGGTGGGTGTGGATCCCGGCATTCCAGCGCCTGGCATTCCCAGGGATGGGCAGCACAGCCAGTCCCGAGCGTGACTTGGGAGATTTCCTGGAGGAGAGCGTGGATGTGGAGCTGAGGGATTAACCCTGCGCTGTCCTGCCCGAGCGGGGCTGGGATCATCCCAAACATCCCCAGGGATCCCTGTGGGATCATCCCAAACATCCCCAGGGATCCCTGTGGGATCATCCCAAACATCCCCAGGGATCCTGTGGGATCATCCCAAACATCCCCAGGGATCAGTGTGGGATCATCCCAAACATCCCCAGGGATCCTGTGGGATCATCCCAAACATCCCCAGGGATCCCTGTGTGGGATCATCCCAAGCATCTCCAGGGATCCTGTGGGATCATCCCAAACATCCCCAGGGATCCTGTGGGACCGGTGTGGGATCCTGTGGGATCCTGTGGGATCCGTGGGGCTGGGACAATCCCTGCCCACAGGGGTGCGGTGGCCTCGGGGATTTCCTGGGATGCTCCTCATGGGAATGAGCCGGTGGAGAAGGCAGGGCCTGGAGAAAGGAAGTTTTCCAAACCCTTTCCAGCGGATTGTTCCCGCTCCGGTGCCTCGGGGTGGCCCTCGGGTCTGGGGGAATTCTGGGTTGGGTTTGGGGCGCTTTTCCAAGGAAGCCATTCCATGATTCCGTGATGGGAATTGGATCGTGGGTGTCACCTGTGCTGTGTCCTGCAGCCCCGGGACACCTTCACGGGGGACAATTCCCGGGTCACCTTTAGGGATGATAAAATTCCCAAGTTACTTTTAGAGATAACAATTCCAGGGTCACTTTTAGGGATGACAATTTCCGGGTCACCTTTAGGGATAAAAATTCCCAAATCACCTTTAGGGATGACAATTCTCGGGTCACTTTTATGGATGACAATTCCAGGGTCACTTTTAGGGATAACAATTCCCCCCCGTGGGGTCCCTTCACTGCCCAGAGCCCCTCAGCTCCCTCATCCCATGGGAACATTTTGTTTTCCCGCTGGAAGAAAAAGATGGGATTGATTCTAACGAGCCAAGGGAGTTCTGGCAGTTCCCACAGCCAGAGGAAAAGCTGGAAGGGCTCTTGGAACTGCAATTCCCGTTCTGTCCCTTCTCTGCAGGCGCGTGGGGGAAGCTCTGGCCTGGAGCTCTTCATGTCCCGGCTCTTGGCAGCTCCGCCGGGAAAGGCTCCACATCCCTCAATTCCTGCGGGAAAAATCCCATCCCTCAATTCCTGTGGGAAAAATCCCATCCCTCAGTTCCTGTGGGAAAAATCCCATCCCTCAATTCCTGCGGGAAAAATCCCATCCCTCAGTTCCTGCGGGAAAAATCCCATCCCTTAATTATGAGAGGAACAATTGGAGGCGGGGGGCTCCAGTTCCCTCCTCCTGTGTCCCACACATCCCAATCCCACTCCCCATCCCAATCCCACACATCCCAATCCCACACATCCCAATCCCACTCCCCATCCCAATCCCACTCCCCATCCCAATCCCACACATCCCGGCCCTGTTTCCCGACTCCCCGTGTCCCACTCGGCCCCGTATCCCGGAATGCGGAGCGGAGCCGGGATTGCCGGGAGAGCAGTGACACCTAGTGACACCGGGATACGGGCACAGGGATACCGGGATACAGGCACAGGGATACCGGGATAC